GGGAGTTGATTTTGTTACCAAAGGCAAAGTCGGTTATAGTAAACCGCATGGCAACACTCGGCCCATATTTTCCCCTCTTCCTCAAATAATAAAAGAGGACATCCAAGTGCTGAGACAAGAAATAAAACAGAACAGCCATCACTACCAGATTTTTTAAATATAGAAATTTATACACTATTATACAGAGGTATACATATTTATACAAGGTTATACGATCTTATACTGTGATTATACAAAGCTATGTATACACTATGGGGGTCTCAAACAATAAAGATATGCAACAAATAAAAAAAGGCATTAGAACAGAAATTTATTAAATACCCTGTCAATCAAAGGTCGACCACAATATGCAAGTGAGTGGAACCAATCCTTCGTGGTCACATTGCACGAGCCAAAAGTAAAAGCTTCCGCAAGATTATTTACTTCATCGGGATATATATTTTTGGCACTTCAAATCACAAAAAATAAAAAGTAATCAGAACTACATTCATTGACAAGTATTATAAAATCAAAACATGAAAGATTAAAGAAAGTGAAGATACCTTCGCCTTGTATCCATCCCATTATCAACAAACGCGCAAAACTCTTTAGCCAATGACGATATTGGATCAAAATCATCAATTTCGATCGTGAAAGGATGCTTGATATCAAAAATGAGCTTGGGCGCTGATCATGATGCCCCCCGAATCAAAAACTGGCAAATATGGAGATTTGGCATATTTTCCTGGTATTTTCTGTCGAACTGACTATTCAGGAGAAATGTAATCATCTTCTACGTCTATGATGGATTATTTGTGAAGCACAATTCGGGACATCTATAGCGTATCTAAATCTTCATCGCCGATGTCACCCCAAAATGTGTCACCCTTGACATCACCTGCTGCCCCTTAGACAGAGAAAACAAATAATAAAAAACTTTAAAATAAAGAAAAGAAAAATCAGACCAAAAAAGAAGATAAAATGCAGAACAAATACCATGATCAACACCATCAGTAACTCCCTCGTCGGCTAGCACGTTATCTTGATTCACTTGATTGACAAAGTCAGGAACAACATCATATTGATAGCCATCAAATTCTCCAAGACCAGATGTATTGTCATCAGACACGCGCTGACGAATCTAATAAAAAATAATAGAAAGAGAAGGCATGTTGAGTGATGAATTCAGAGAAGGCATAAATGTTGAGTGATTTGGTTTTATCAGTAAACAATTACCTTAGAATCGGTAAAATCCTCCCTCGTTTGCTTGGTTTCCTTCATATTTAGAAAACTGAACACCTTTTCAAAGGAAGAAACTACATAATTGTTGAGTGTCGTCATTGTATCAGTCAACTACAAAAAAAAAAAAAAAAAGCAAATCAACAACCATGTTCATAACCAAAAAACCATGTATATACAAAAAGTACTGATAAACTACAGAAAAGCTAAAGGTCCAGTACCTTTCCAACAGCACTCCTCAACTTCTCAACTTCAGCATTCAACAGATCAATGCACACCAAAGGATCATAACTCGGGTTAGGCTGTTGATCCATATTCTGAGGAAAAGGTCGTTTAGACTGTTGCTCCGTATTCTGAGGATAAGGTCTTTTAGACTGTTGCTCCATATTCTGAGGACAAGGTGGAGATGTAGCGACAGAATCATCAGTGTGAAAGGCAGGCACCACAGGCACCTCCCCTGATGCAACATCATTGGCATTAACTTCAAAAAGCGTGTCGATGTTCAAAGTTGACATCTCTTCACGAGTAGGGGAAATGTTCCTATAGTTCAACTACAAGAAGAAAAACTGGATTACAATAGTAGAAAAAGGAAATTGTGACATATTCATAAATATACATACAGAAAAACTGAAATCACATATGGAGAAGTATTATGGTACAAAATGTTTACCTTGTCGATACTACACATGATCACCCCGCCAGTCAAATCCGCATATTTTGGAGTTTCAGTCACTTTCCAATTAAGAATGCGTTGCACATTTGTGCCAACGCGAACAGCTAGATGCTTGTCAACCATAGAGCAACACTCAAAAAACCATGTTTGTAATGCAAGTGGCAAACCTCCAAGCCTATACATTGTCAAATAGTCACACTGTCTGTCCCTCATTGTCCTTAAAATATCTTCAAATGACTGTTTTCCCCAAGCATACGTCGGATATTGACCACTTTCAATGATATCAAAATCATCTTTGTTGATACTATGATTATTGGCATCTGAGAATATGAAATGATGGACAAACACCATCAAGGCCATCTTGAACGCATCTTCATCCGACTTCCAGTCCTTTTTCTTGAAGCGATCAAGAAGCTGCCCCCTCGTTATAGCCTTTTTTCCATCTCCTGGAAAATACTCTTTTAGCAGCCTATTAACATCTGGTTTGTCATAGAAAGTGGTGTCGTCTTCTACACACTTCAAACCAGTGATAACAGCAAACTCTCCAATGCCAAAACGCAGCAAACAACCATTAATTTTCACCCACAACTCCCTTTCACGTCCTGGGACGACTTCCCTCAATGATATACAATGAATAAGTTGATTTTGAATTTTAAATTGAGGGAGGTCCAAGAAGTACCCAAAACAACTAGCACGGAACATTTGAAGCTGCGTGTCAGTCAAACATTTCTTCAAAATGCTCACAATGTCAGTCTCGGTATGGGAACTAATCCTGTTGTGGAAATAATCAACTGGTTGTATATAGAAGTCCCCAACCTTGCATATGGAAAAATAACAAGAAATAGATCAGGAACAAAAACTATACTAAAATATTTTATAAAAATGTATAAATAAGTATAGCAGTACTTGTATAAAGATGTATAAACAGCTGTATAACTTTGTATAAAATTGTATAAGCATGTATAAATTAATAGCAACAGAGGGAATACCTTCAACTTAGCCTTTCTCTCATTCAATTTGCAGCGAATAGAAGACCTTTGTTCTTTCGATATGGAATCAAGGCCACTCTCACCATCGTCCTTGATCTTTCTCCTTTTTGGTTTAACATTGCGGCCTACATCATCTTCATTAACCAAATCAACTTTCAGCTTTTCTTTTGATTTTTCAGGTCTCCCACATTTCTTACTCCTTATTCTAACGATGTTAACCGGAGTAGGAGTATTACTTGTTTGCGAACGAGTCATTCGACTGCTCCCTTGTTGCAATATTTTTAGAGGAGGAGGAGACTCAAAATCATCATCATCGGGAGCCTGGACATGCGTATTCGCTTCAGAAGAAGGGGGTGAGGGCAAGTCCCTCGATGATTTAACTGGAGTGGGAGTATTTCTCGTTTGCGAACGAGTCATCCGACTGCTCTCTTGTTGCGAGTTTTTAGGAGCAGGAGACTCATAATCATCACCATATGGCGCCTGGACATTTACATTAGATTCAGAATTAGGGCTTGAGGGCAACTCCCTCAATCTTTTCGCATAATCTAACTTAACGTCTTTTCCAGCAACCTTCATTTTGCTTTTAGAAGCAGGTATTTTTGAACGCATTTTCTACAATAAACCAAACAAACAAAGCTTTAACAAAAGTGAAGACAACTGAAGGAAAACACAAAAAATCAAACTATAACAAAACTCAAAAGTTAACCAAAAATAAAGGCCATGAACACAAAGCAGAGGCCAATATTTCCCAAATTGTAACAAAACTCAAAAAATTAAAAATTCTACCCTAAAAGTAGAAATAACAAAGCATGCAAACTGAAACATCAAGTTTAAGCCTAGAACGAAGATAGAAGGAACACAAAATCAAACGAAAAACACAGCAACATTGTAAGAAAATAGGCATAATCATAAAAAGCAAAAAAAATTAAAAATAAAACAAAATTCAAAACCAAAACTGTGGTAAAAGCATAAAATGAAACGAAAATTACCTGAAAATAAGATTGAAAGCTCGAAAAAGTACTTGAACCAACAATGGAGGTCGGTTATCTTCTGAGAAAAGCGTGAGGAAGAGAGAGTCTGAGAAAAGCGTGAGGAATAGAGAGAAAGAGAAACAGAGAAATTGAAATTTAAAATATTAAAACCGCTGTTTTAAGTTGTGGGCTACCGGGTGAAAAGTAAATTTCATAACATATACAACATGGGCTAAGCCAGGTAAAGGCTTCAAATATGGGCTATTTTCGAGTGGGCTGTGTGGCCCAAGTGATATAAGTATGATGTAATTTTGTCTATTTTAAATTAAAAATAGCCGGCAGGTGTATAATATATTAATAATTCATGTTAATACTCCTCCTGTTTCAATTTAGATGACACACTTTCATTATTAGTCCGTTCCAAAAAGAATGACACATTTCTAAAATTGGAAATTATTCAACTTTAAATTCTTCATTTTATATATTTTACTCTTAATGAGAAGCTTTTATAACCACACAAATTTCATCGCCCCAGAAAGCTTTTACCCTTTAAGCTTTTAAGATCACAAGTTTCAAAAGTCTTCTTGTTTTTCTTAAACTCCGTGCCGAGTCAAACTACATCATCTAAATTGAAACGGAGGGCGTCTGTGTGTGTTGTGTGAATTTAGCCAGCTATTTGTGTAACAATCCTGGAGGCCCTCAACGAAGCTTTTAAGCTCATAAAACTGTTTTTAGGCTTTGGATTAATCCAAAAAGAACTCGTTTGTGCAAATTTTTTCTTTGTGGGAGAACAGAGAACTTCACTCTCACGGATAAACTATGTTTTTCAAGATTTGGGCCGATAAGAAGATTAGGCAAAAATGAAGGGAATCACCCGAAGTGTTGTTTGTCGCTTCATTAATTACTAGACCACACTTATGTCTATTGTTCATGACATCCAAACTTGATCAAACTCAAGAAACAATATGAGTCTATTCTTCTGTCCTCTCGACTAATTAATCGTCAGCAAAAAGGTCTAGAGACTAACCGATCAGTAATTAGCATTTCAGATTCAGCAAATATTTGCCAGCAAAAGACAAAAAAAGCCCAACATTAGGGGGAAGGGGTTACTCAAGATTTCCCAACATAGGATAAAATTAGAAGAGAATCTGGATAACAAAAGTATTACTGCTCTAACCTTCTTGGCGGACTCAAAGTTCTGATTTCAAGTCCCCTAATTAAAATTTCTGCTTCTGTTACTCGGACTCTTCAAAAATGTTGTTGGGTGTCTGTCGGTCCTCCAAATTTAGTGCATTTTTGGAGGATCTGACACGGTGCGGCAGCACTTTTGGAGAGTCTCAGCAACACAGATAGAAATCATCTTACAAGATAACATTCTGATTAATAAATACATTCCAACTAATTGAGTACTCTGCTCGATAACACTGCATATTGGTTTTATGTCTAGACACCTTATTTCTTGGACAGACTCCACATTTAGTGTGCTGATAATGAAAATGTAACTGTGACCAGTTGTTTCCATACAAATTTGTGCTATGTTTAGAGCTAAAACAACAAACCTACAAGTTCTTCATTTCAACAATTACCCTTTTGCCTTTTGTGGTGATGAGTATATGAAGCCGTCTTGCCTCAGATGATTTGTATAAAATCATCTTACTTCTTCATAACACGAGCGAATCTTGCGGGGGTAAATTGGCTAAGATCAACTATGCTAGCTTGTCCATCCAGAACGAGTTCGGCCATAGCAGCACCTGTGGCCGGACCATTAAGAATTCCCCAACAGCTATGTCCGGTTGCCACGTAAACGTCCTTTAAACCAGGAACTTCCCCAATAATTGGCACATCATCTTCAGAGCAAGGTAGGATACACGCTTGTTCAGCCGTCACAGCTGCCTCCCCCTCCACCAAATGGCTTGATACACTAGCAGCCACTCTCTTAAGCGCGTTTATTGATTCTGGAACTGGAGTTACCTGCTCTGGATCATCTGGAACCTCTTCTCGAGCTGACATTCCACATATATAAACTTCCCCTGAAAGACATAAAAGTATAACACTAAAGTTCTCAACAAGAAATTCTATAAAATCCTCATTTTAGTGTATAATACAGAAAGGAATTAAGTTAAAGGGGAGATCTGTTTCATGCTTCTCAGCTATGTCATTGTATTTTGATTTTAACAACAGGTAGTTCACTGAAACCAGAACTATGGAATAGTTTCAAAGGTAATATTAGGTACATTTCTGGACAAAAATGATCCGGCCAAGAAAAGGGATCAACATTGGACCAATAAAATCTTCCTGTATTCGACAGGGAGTACATAGGTAATATATAGCATGCGACTATCTAGAGACAGTTATACACAAACCAAGGAATTAGCTCATCGTTATCTCTAATCACCAGAGAAGTTGATTTACCTTACTTTTTGGTACTCTAACCTTATCTATTACACGAGCATACAGACGGAAGCTTATACTACACTTCTTTACATAACAATGTGACATTTCGAGACAGGGAGCCTGGAATTCTAGCAAAATGGTTTGAGAAAATGCAAATTTGCACAGAGAGCACAGACACTTAACTATCAAGGGGATTCAATCATTTTTAAACATTTTAAAACAAAATTACTTTTTACCATACATCATTACTTCCAGCTAAAAAAATACAATTGAACCCCTTAAATATAAGCCACCATATTACAACACTTGAAAGCTTATTCAGTTCAATTGTTCATGCAAATGGCCCCTATGATGAATGGCAAATTTATGTTATTCCACATTTCAACAACAATTGACCCTTGTGGTCCGGCCTTTTCCCAACCCCATGCATAGCGGGAGCTTAGTGCGCCAGGCTGCCCAACAACAATTGCCAAATTTCAGTGGTGGTTTAGCTAATATACTGCTTTGTTGTTACAATAAATAATAGCTTGAGAGACTATTCTTTGTATGTATTACAAATAATTTATAACACACATCACGCTCATGCTATATATATATATATATATATAAAAATATATAGTATCTGATAATTGTTCCAACTATTAAAACTTAAGTACCTGTTGGACGAGGATAAACTTCCGGGTCCATGGGCTTCCCACCATGGGCCGGATAATAAGTAAGAAACAACGCATGTGGCGTGATCCTATTCGGCTCTTTAGGTTCGAGCACAATGCTATGGGCTTTAATTCCGTAAACCCCGAAAAGCGAGCCCAAAACAGAGAATCTCTTAGTCCAAGGCCCAAGTGCCAACACAACTGCATCTGCCACAATCTCTCTCCCATCTTCCAATACAATTCCCTTCGTTTTCCCCTCCGCCATTTCAACTCTCTCTGCTTTACCAATTACCAGCTCAACTCCATATTCCTCCATTGCTTTGGTTAATAGTTTTTTAGTAAAGAGCTGTGGATGGACTTGGGCCGTGCTATTAGTTGACCCAATAGTTCTTGGGCTTTTAGCTGGGCCGTTAACCCAAGACGGAAGCGGCCCAGTTCGGTTCGACGAAGAAGAAGATGATGATGATGATTCGGTGACTGAGATACTAAGGGTAGTGAGTGGACGATAGCCGTAGGAGTGGGGTCCATCAAGCTCTTCAGCGAGTGAGCGATGAAGATTGAAGCTGGCGCGTGCGAGTGAGGCGAGGGGACCGCCGTCGCACCAATCTAGGGCTAGGAAACCTCCGGCCTTGCCAGAGGCGGCGCAGGCGACAGAGGATTGCTCGATTAGGGTAACTGCAGCGCCTTTTTTTGATAGGAAGTAGGCGGTGCAGACTCCGATGACTCCACCGCCGCAGACCGCGACCTTTTTCGGTTGTGGAGTGTCCATTGACGGCGATTGTGACGATGACGATCGTATTAAGAAGAGTGTTTGGGTTTTTAGGTCACGGAATTTTATGTTCCTGGGGACTGAAATGGCTGGAAATGGAAGTGCAGGGGTTACTGACATTTCTTTAATTTAGTGTCGGAGAATTGTGAATTGCAATCTTACTCAGAAGAGGACACGTGGTGCTGTTGTTAGAGCTGTGCTTAAACGCGTTCATGAATATTGTTGTGAATGTAGAATCTATTTTTAGAAAAAGAGAGAAAACAGAAGCACTTTTTGGTAGCTAGTGTATGGGTCAAAATCTAATCATCAGATAGTTATCATTAAAGGGGACAGCAAGAGGTCGATCCAGCCATGGTCGTGCCCACGAGGCGCGATGACGACGAGAACCACGGTCACTGCCGAGATCAAGCCGTTAGAAAGCTCACATCGCAGGACAAGTGTAATGTTTGGGCAAGTAATGAATAACCCAATCATGAGAAAGCACACCGATCAAAGACCATTGGATAAAAGGGAAAATTGTTAGTATATATAGAGAGGCAGGAAACCATTACTGCTCTCTCGGGACCCAGATCTGGCTACAACATTTATAGTCATCGTTACGGAACCAACAAGGGGGGATTTCTCAGTTATCAACAGTTTTCTCTCTTCTCCTTCTGTGCTCTTACGATTATTGGGCAAACCCGTCATAGATGTAAGCCTATCATTTATATTTGATGTATAATAATCATCTTAAGAAATATTAAATCAGCTTGTTCTTCTCCAATTTTTGTACTCAACATGTTTTGATCTAGAGTTAATTATGTTTGGCTATGATTTACCTTCTACCTTTCTATTAATTAGTTTAACTAAAGGGTTTAACAGTTTTTTGGTTAAACAATTTGGCGCCGTCTGTGGGGTTTTTTTAGCCAAATTCTTTAGTTTCCTTTAGATCTAGAACCAGCTAGGTATTACTTCCGGGCTATCGCAACCTCACTGTCTCGGTGACAACGCCAACCTAAAACGAGTGGTAGATAAGTTCCTGAAATAAACGTATCAATCTAGGTCAGATCTCTACACAAAATAAAAATCGTGACCGATGTCTATACGAAACCCATGCCCCACCCGCAACGATAGGCTTAGCGGGTCATGTGCACGATTTAAGTAGAACCGTAGTCACTATGTGCTTGGCATAACCGCGATCCCAAGCGGTGTATACACCCTGTATACCGGCCTGTACCTTCACTCCCGAGGAAGGGATGATAACCTACCGCATGACCACTTGAAAGACCAGGCACGTCCCACACTAATTTCATATCACGCATGCGGGATGATTTACAAACAAAGCATGACATGTTCCACTTATCGTTTACGCATGTCGGACTGACACTCGGCCCCGATATCCCAACGGGTGAGGTAAGCCCAACACACAGGGAGCCTAGACGCAGTTAGTTGGCGAAGCTAAATGTGGCTGCCAAATCAAAAATCACTATTCGAGTACTAGGCGGAGCGTGTCACCCTACAACGCCGCTCCTCCCTTCACCGGTTTGCTAGGCCGAGGTAACAGTCAATTTCATTTTGGTTTTTCACTCTTTTTGGTTCGAAACAGGAACACGAGCACTTGCATAGGTGTGCAAACAAGGGGCAAATGTCGCTAAAACACCCCAGAAATTGGTTCCATAGCATGTCATCTCGCAAGGAATGACCGAGCAAACCCCCCCCCCCCCCAAGCCGTAGCATATCACAAATCACGGAAATAGCACTGTACAGATCAACTACCGAAAAACAATCTCTGGTAAAAGAAAAATTGAGAAAACGGGAACTCTCCTGTAAAACACACGGCATTCTTCAGTAAAAGCAAAACTGAGCAAACTGGGACTATCCCGTAAAACACGCGGCATTCTCCAGTAAAAGCAAAATCGAGCGAACTGGGACTCACCCAGGAAAACACACAGTGCTCTCCAATTGAAAGCGAAATTAAGAGAACTAAGATTCGTCCCAATGCGCACGTAAACAGCACGGCGACGAGTAATGCTCCCCAATGGAGATACTACGACGGGTTAAAATTTTGACCTTGCTCGAAATAACACCCCTACGGCCATCGGCCTTCGCCAAAAGAGAATTCGACCTCGCTCGAATCTACGACGGGTTAAAATTTCGACCTTGCTCGAAATAACACCCATACGGCCGTCGGCCTTCACCAAAAGAGAATTCGACCTCGCTCGAATTACGACAGGTTAAAATTTTGACCTTGCTCGAAATAATACCCCTACGGCCATCGGCCTTTGCCAAAAGAGAATTCGACCTCGCTCGAATCTACGACGGGTTAAAATTTTGAACTTGCTCGAAATAACACCCTACGGCCATCGGCCTTCGCCAAAAGAGAATTCGACCTCGCTCGAATCTACGACGTGTTAAAATTTCGACCTTGCTCGAAATAACCCCCTACGGCCATCGGCCTTCACCAATAGAGAATTCGACGTCGCTCGAATCTACGACGGGTTAAAATTTCGACCTTGCTCGAAATAACACCCCTAAGGCCAATGGCCATCGCCAAAAGAAGGGTTCGACCTAGCTCGAACTCACAATGGGTTAGAATTTCGACCTTGCTCGAAATAACACCCCTACGGCCAACGGCCTTCGCCAAAAGAAGGGTTCAACCTCGCTCGAACTTATAATAGGTCACAATTCGATCTTCCCCGAATTGACACCTTTACGATCACTGGCTATCATCGAATCAAGTAGGATACGATTCAACCTCGCTCAGGATAACACCTTTACAGCCGCCGGCTACCGCCAAATAAAATAAAGAGTTCGAGCTCGTTCAAATATGAGTCGGAAACTGACTTCGCCCAAGACGGCAACTCCAAGTTCGACCTTGTTCGAACACGAGTCAGAAACTAACTTCGCTCGAGATGGCGATTCCAAGTTCGACCCCGCTCGAATACGTAAGAAAAAGTTGACTTCGCCTACGTCGGTAAGTCAAAATTCAATCCCACTCGAATGTTCAAGTAGAAAGTGACTTCGTCCAAAATGACGAGTCTGAACCAAGGATGATTCCACCTAAGTCGGCAAATCGGAAGTCAACCTCGCCCGGATCTGAAGTTCCAAAGTAACTTCATTCGGACTCACGCGACAAGATCCTACTAGATCCGGGCAGGATCGCACTCTCGATTGAAAAGGTCAGGGACTCATCGCCAAAAAAAAAAAAGAGAAAGAGAGAATCAGAAGATACACAAAGGCGAAGCAACTGTTTTATTTAAATGTACGTGCGCAACAGCCGCACCTTACAAAAGGCCAAAACAGGCCCAAAAGAAAAATCATAATATTAACAAGTTTAAAAAAAAAATAAAAGAAGATAAATATTTATAATTTAGAGGGTAAAATAGGTATTTGGCAATCCAAAATTTGGAAAATCTAGTTGAGTGACCTTCCGAGTGCAATAGGCATAGTTCAGTGACTTTGTTGTTACAAACGAAAGTATAGTGACTATAGGAGATAATTTGAGATAGTTGAGTGACCATTTTAGTAATTGACTCTGAAAATGATCTTTTCACATAGCCTCTTTCCATGGCTGAAAATATAAAAGTGTTTGAACATAAATATTATTTGCAAATAGTAAAATATTAGTTGCAAGTCAATTTTTTTTGAAAATTTCTTTATTATTTCAACTTAACTCGAAATTAAATAATTTTTTAACTCACAAAATTTTAATTTTTTTCTCCAATCGATCGAAATTATGTAAAAACACATACTTCCCAAGTATTCTTTTTCTACTTCAATCACAAATACTCTATCTTCTACTTCAATCAAATATTGTCCAAATATCTACAAGTTACAAACCTAAACTGTTAAAATTGTTAAGAAAGACGTTTGGCGGTTTGGCAGTTCATTCTTATAGAAAATCAGTTGGCAGGCTAGCTAGCTATGCCCCTTGATTAATTCCTTGGGAATTTGTCCCTATGTAAACAGACCCAATTGACAAAAATGATGCAACTGTTTTCCTTACACTATTTATAATTAGCCAAAGATAATCTAATAAATATCCACTGTTCCACTTCTTTTATCTTTATAAGCCAAAATATTGGTACTTCTCTTACTCGTCAAGCCTCTTCACATTCTTTACTAGTCTCCTATAGGCCATTTTGTTAATCTTTTCGTTGCGTTTCCAACTATGTCTATTGTCGTAGTAACCACTATTTGTTATGTCGAGGAAGAGGCAAACGCGAAAATAAAAAAGATAAAGAACACCAAATTTTAACGTGGAAAATCCTTCAAATTGAAGGTAAAAACCACGGAATCACAAAGATCCAAAAAGCTCCACAATAACAATAAGAGGGTTACAAAAGTTCTCCAAATTGGCTAGACAACAAGTGTCAAACACAGAGCAACAATAGCAACAAGAACAACAACTAATCAATTGAAGAAAGAGGAGAATCCACAAAAACGAAGCTGTTGTTCGAGGCTCAAAATCAGATACTACGGGCCTCCAAATCCGATCTTCATCGTTCAAATCAAACACCAAGATGTTAGAAACACTCGGTCATAATTTCAGCCCGATCCAATGGTTGACGAATCAGAAAATTTGATTTGAAGTTGGCTGGTCGGAATAAAAAATCTGTAGCAAAACAAATACTTTTCTTCTCTCTTCTCTCTTGATGAAAGCTCTCTCAAAAACCACTGTTATGTGCTTAAGTCTTTCAAAGACTTGTATCAATGAGCATGGAATGATTCTCCAAAGTTGTTCTATTTATAGATCATGAGTGGTGCTTTCTCTTAAAGCCAAAACCAACTCTAATAGGAACAAAAACCGAATCCAATTCCGAATAGGAATGGAAACCAAAAGAGAATAGGATTAGGCCATTGGGCCTTTGGCTGGACAATATGGGCATGTGCCCAACAAACTCCCCCTCCAGCCAAGGGGCCAAATATATCTTCAAGTAGAGGAACTATTGACAGGCTTCATGCCTGCCAATTTTCTGCAAAATTCATGTTTATCTGCAACCACCGCCTTTGTCAGCATATTCGAAGGATTTTCATCAGTGTGTATCTTCTCAACCTCAAATAATTTCTCTTCCACGGCCATTCTTATCCAATGGTACTTTCTATTTATATGTTTGGTCTTAGAATGAAAAGTGGAGTGCTTGGTGAGACAGACAGCACTCTGATTATCACAAAATAAGATGTACCTTGGCTGCTCAAAGCCAAGATCATTAATAAACTCCTTCATCCATAATAGTTCTTTGGCACCTTCTGTGACAGCAATATATTCGACTTCTGTGGTAGATAGAGCTATGCACTTCTGTAGTCTAGATTGTCAAGAAACAGCTCCCCCTACAAAAGTGATCAAATAACCAGAAGTAGATCTTGAATTATCAAGATTGCCTCCTAAATCAGAGTCTGTGTAGCAAACAAGTTCAGGCTTGCCATTGCCAAAGCACAGCTTCAAATTTGCAGTACCTTTCAAATACCTTAATATCCATTTTACTGCATCCCAATGTTCTTTCCCAGGATTAGAAAGGAATCTACTAACAGTACCAACGACATGTGCATTATCTGTTCTAGTGCAAACTATAGCATACATCAAGCTACCAACGGCAGAAGAGTAAGGAATACGAGACATATCCTTTTTCTCTTCATCAGTAGATGGACTCTGACTAATACTCAATTTGAAGTGTTTAGCTAGAGGAGTACTAATAGCTAGAACCATGGTCACTATGTGCTTGGCATAACCGCGACCCCACGC